AAATACTCCACCAGGCCAAATCTTCGTTATGGGTACTGTTTATCCTACTACGGCTTGTATTGTGTGGGCACGGCTCACAGCTGTCATACAAGCCATCCTCCACCCCGATCGAACCAGTGGTGGCAGAGGAATACCCACCCACGGGGGCTCAGGGACTCAAGGGCCGGTGGAGCAGAAGAGCTTATCTGCTCCACCAGGCCAAACTCCATCTACCGGGCGCTGGTTGTCTTACGAAGACTTGCCTTGTGTTGGCCCGGCTCACAGCTATCATACAAGCCATCGGACACCCCGATCGAACCAGTGGTGGCAGAGGAACACCCACCCACGGGGGTTCAGTGACTCAAGGGCCGATGGAGCAGATAAGCGTAACTGCTCCACCAGGCCAAACTCTATCTACACCGGGCGCTGTTTGTCTCAAAAACACATTCGTTGTGTTGGCCCGGCCCACATCTATCACTGCCAGCCATTGGGCACCCCAATGGGACACGTAGGTGCAGGGAAACGCCCACCCATGGGGACTCATCGCCCAAAGGCCGACGGAGCAGATATGTGGCCTCTGAGCCATTTCCTCGTCACATTAACTGTATCCTTTAGTCACATTCACTGTATTCCCTCATCACATACTACGCTGTCATGGGATATACACTGTATTCCCAGATCACACACGCTGTATTCGCTGAGGGGATACACTGTATTCCCTCGTCAGATACACTGTATTCCCTGAGCAGATTCACTGTATTCCCTCATCACATACAATGTTTCCCTTACCAGATTCACTTCATTCCCTGATCAGAATCGCCGTATTCCCTCGTCAGATACACTCTATTCCTTGATCAGATACGCTGTATTCCCAGAGCAGGTACACGGTATTCCCTTGTCAGATAAACCGTATTCCCAGAGCAGATTAATTGTGTTCCCTCATCAGATACACTGTATTCCTTCATCAAATTCACTGCATTCCACGGCGTCCACATCTGATGAGGGATACATTGAATCTGATTAGGGAATACAGTGAAAAGTACAAGGAACACGGTAGTGTATTTGAAGAGGGAATACGGGGATCGTGACCAGGGAATACAGTGTATTTGATCAGGGAATACAGTGAAACGAACGAGGCAATACGGTGTATCTGATGAAGGAACACAGTAAATCTGCTCAGGGAATACAGTGAAAAGTACGACGAGCACTCACTGTGTATCGGATAAGGAAATACAGTGATGCTGACCAGGGAATACAATTTATTTGATTATGGAATTCAGTGAAACGAGCGAGGGAATACGGAGTATCTGATGAGGGAATACAGTGAATCTGCTCAGGGAATGCAGTGTTTAGCGTATCTGATCAACAAATACAGTGTATACTACATACAGAGCACTGCACCGTCCGAACACGGCGCCAAGAGGTGTCCGTGAGCAGAGAGGAGTACCGACAGTGTAGGTGGGGTGGCCGTTGTTGACGGAGGGTGCCGTTAGCTGAGAGGGAGTGCCCCAAACCACCAGGAGGGGGGCGTTATTGGGGGGGTGCCCGTTCGTCGGGGTGGGTGGGGAGGAGTGCCCGTTAGCCCGGAGGGGAGCCCGTTTAAGAAAATTTCCCATATCCAGGGGGTGCCTATATCCTGTCACAGTCTTCGTACGACGATCAGCGCCCGGTGTAGATAGAGTTTGGCCTGGTGGAGCAGTTAAGCTCCACCGGCCCTTAAGCCGCTGAGCCCCCGTGGGTTGGGGTTTCTCTGCACCCACAGGTCCGATTGGGGTGTCTAATGGCTTGTATGATAGTTGCGGGCCGGGCCAACACAATGGATGTCTTCTTGAGACAAACAGCACCTGGTAGATGGAGTTTGGCCTTGTGGAGCAGTTAAGGTTATCTGCTCCACCGGCCCTTTGAGTCACTGTGTCCCCATGGGTGGGCGTTTCCGGTCCCATTGGGGTGTCCGGTGGCTTGAATCATAGTTGTGAGCCGTGCCGACACAATACAAGCAGTTAAGCTCTTCTGCTCCATCGGCCCTTGAGTCACTGAACCCCCGTGGGTGGGTGTTCCTCTGCCACCATTGGTTCGATCGGGGTGTCCGATGGCTTGTATGACAGCTGTGAGCCGGGCCAACACAAGGCAAGTCTTCGTAAGACAACCAGCGCCCGGTAGATGAAGTTTGACCTGGTGGAGCAGATAAGCTTATAAGCTTCTCGGCCCTTGACCCACTGAGCCCCCGCGTGGGGGCGTTTCTCTGCACCCACTGGTCCGATTGGGGTGGAGGATGGCTTGAATGATAGCTGTGAGCCGTGCCAACACGATGCGGGCCGAGATAGGCGTGGTTCAGCTATGTGGCGGGAGGCATAGCGGGACTATTGCCAGTTACGCCCCCCCCCCCCCCAAATGCTGCGGAACCCCCCCGGGTGACCATATCTCTGCGGGAATATATCGGAAGTGAGTGTCCGAAAGCTTAAAAAAACGGCATGGACCGTGCACACCCAATGAAAAAAATTTGAGGTCAATTGAAGCGGTGTGGACGGAGGTTCCAGACGATTGCTGCTTCCTGGGATGCTGCGGAATCCCCTTTTTCAGCATATCTCTGCCGCCCCCGGTCAAATTTAGCTTGTAAGTAGCATTGCAGATAGCTGTAGCCCATACCTACACGATGCAATTGGTTTGAGGTCGATTGGAGCTCTGTGGGTGGAGATCTACCTGGGGTAGCAAATAAGAACTTACTCCACCGGTGGAGCAAATAGCATTGCCGAAAAATATTAGTTTCGGGCCATCGCAAGTAGGTTCCGGGAACATGCTGGGCTGCAAAATCTTCTTGCAATATGTTCGTCTCGCGATTTTTTTTCGGGACCCCATTGGAGTATGCATCGTAGTGTGGCCGCCAACTCGTAGACCTGCTCCAGATCTTCATTGTATCGGTGGAAAGAATGGAAATCACTCATGCAAGCACATGAACAAATTAGATCCTCGGACAGCCGAGACGAAAGCTACAAGAAAAACAGGAGATATTTCAACGAACTGCTGTGTCGTTCTTCGTTCTTCTCACACAGCCTCAACCAACTCGCCGTCTACCCTGTTGGTCACCACTCGCACGTCACGGCATTTCAAAGAGCGGCTCTGTTGCTTTTTCTGGTCATGTGGGTGTGTTTCGTATGCTGCTGTGCTCGTTCGTAACGAACAATCGCAGACTCCGGGCCAGGAGTACACGCGTACTAGGTGTACGTTGCGATTCGTTCGGTATCGTAGAGTCGGAGACACTGCATGCGGGAAATGAATACAAATACCATTATCGCCGGAATGACTTCGTTCAACGTAATTGGGGCTTTTTGCACAGGAGTGTGCGTGAGGTTGGCACAACCAAAAAAGTGAAATAGTTTTCCGCGCAGGGATTCGAGATGTTTCGTGAGTCGTTAATATCGCACCGGGGATGTCAACCAAGATCAAGTTGGAGATGACTCGAAACCAATGGCACTCCCCTTTGCGTCCACTCGCCCTTGCACCGTACTCCTCGCCATTGGTCATGCATACCTCGGCCCAGACGGATGTCGACCATGCGCACCAGATCGATGGCCGCGGCCCCGAGCCCCCTGGTTTCGGGACTGCACTTTGGGCATGCGCGCCGTTACAGAAAAGTGTCTCCAGCGTCAGTCGCCTGACAAGTGATGTGCCGTGTGGTAAATATGTCTTGGTTGTTGTCAATGTGAAAGATCAGCCGTGAAACGCACACATTCATATTTAAACCACAGCCGCACCACGCTCACCGAACGACACAATGTACTTCTGAATGACTAAATCAAGACTCATAGCCCTGCAATAACGTGCCCGTACCAAATCCATCAATGCTTTCCCAAAGCGTTCAAATTGCGCAAATACAGGTTCCGAAACCACCACCGCGGTGAGTTGGTGCTAGTTTGCAGCAGTCCTTCAAAGCGGTACACTGCAACTCGAGGGGTTGCCGCGGGGAAAATGCTAGGAAGTCACGAAATAAAAGAAGGCACGTAAAAAAACTCTTCTCAAACTAGACGACACACGGTACAACGCTTAAACAAGCAAGATACCTGTGCCGAATGCATACAAGAAAGTAAAGTCCAAGGTCAATTGCTGACAAAATCGATTGTGCCATAAACTGTGCGCTTCAACCCCCTGGGACTCCGGATTACGTAACGGGGCTCACCTTGTTCGCCAATAGCATCGTGTCACCATGCTGAGGACACGTCAGAGAGCCTCTCCAGCGCAGTCCTGGGAAATCCCTCAGCATAAAAGCTCACGGCAGTCACGACGTATGACAGCGCCACCCACGGAGCTGGAGTGCTGATATCGCCGAAAATCTGAGCAACAAGTTCATTGTCCATGGAAGAGTATTCCAAGACCACAGCGAATATCCCACACTGACCTAGTTCCCCGAGGCCACCGTGCACAAGAACCCCATATCGCCAGAATGTTCGCACACCACCAAGACCGCAGCACCGTGTCAACACCTCTCCAATCGCACCAGGCGGTACACCGAGGAATATCTTCCAACTGGCGCTGAGTGCCGGGGTGTGCTCCAAACAGCATGTGTCGATCACGTGGCCCACACTCTCGGGTCGCTCTGGGTTTAGCCTCAGCAGAACTACCACGTCCTCAGCCGGATCGTCCTAGAGCGGAAAAGTGAGACCCCAAAACGCAAGAGTTGGGATATAACGTACTTGGACAGACCGTTAGGCCAGATGGCATACCCCAACCTGGGTTCAAGCACGCCCTGGCTCTTGAGTCGGTCCCACGAAGCAATGTCTGATGGATCGTCGAGTGTAATGCGCGCGTCACCCGTATCCCCAAGATTCACGAGGCCATCAAAGGTCTCTTGATCCTTGTGGTTGAGCAATGGTTTCAGGATTCTTGCCAGCCAAACCACGTCCAGAAAGACAAACTTCTCGTGGCGGATGAGGGATCCGTCGAACTCCCTGCATGCACAACGTTGTAAAGTCAAAAGATCGAGTTGGCAGTATCCACCCAGGATAAAATCCCAAAGCATTCAGATTATTGAGCCAGCGGCATTCTACGCACATCTCCTCCGGAACGAGGTCGACACCATACTCGAGGCCACCACTCTTCTTCTTCGCGAAGCGATGCACAATACCGAATGGCAGCGATTCGTAACGATCTAGTTTCCAGTCGGCCTCACCATGTCGTTGAAAAGGTGGTCTCCGTATCGGAATGCCAATCTTATATGTCTACCTGATTGAGAGAGCTCCTTCCAAAGCATTCTCGGCGTTTGTGACCGTAATCCCTCTCCTCTTGAGCTCATCAACTGTTTTCTGCCATTTGCTGCTGAGGTCCTCGACCGTGAACCCCTGATACACGACTATCGCGCCTCTAGCCGTTTCCGTCGCGTCTTCTCTGTCACGGTCAGGCGACTTGCGCAGTACCACCTCCACGGGATCTCTAGGCAAGCAACGTAAAAAAAATAACGGGGTCAAATGTAGTTCACATATCCCAACCTGGAGAATAGTCGGCGCTCGTAGCACCCAGTGTTCGAGGACTTCATCCATACGTATGGACGGTACGGGCCATTAGTACAGGTGACGCAGACCCCAACATCAACGACAGTTCGAATGAGGGCCACTCGTGTGAACACCAAAGGGCATTTAGGCCCCATAATCACCAACGCGAACTCGACGGGAGGTGGGCGGGGTTGTTTCGCGGGTGATTCCCTGGTTTTGCACCGACCCACTAGGTAGGCTTTAACGTATGCTATACCGTTCGACTTGGATTCCAGATGAAGCGATTGGCTCTACTTCTTTGGGGTTTTGATTGCCCTACGAATAACATACCTGCCACCCCCTTGTTTGTCTTAATGCTTGGCATCTATTGTTACGCCCCGCGAGTGGCGGGATTTTCTCTGGGTCCACTTTAATGTTTACCTCGAGTTAAGATTAGAGTGAGGTAAAAGCACTTCGTTTTATCGCCATGACGAGCGCGGACGAGGAGGTACTGAATGGAGGGCAGCACGGGTGGTAAAACTGAAGACAAAAGCAACAACAACAACAACAATGCGCTCTTGATGGGCTTCTGTTCAGTGTGGCACCATCGCAAGCCTCGGTAACCTCCGAATACATCCTACATCCACAGCACGCAGGTTCCCCGCTTTTTGTCGGCAGCCTTTCGTGCATAACCCAGAAATATTCATTTACAATTTGCCACAGAGGTCGAGATGGCGTTCCGGTTCTTCCGTGTTGCGCTAGCGGGATATTTGGGTGCACTAGCGTTGTGTGTGTCGTGCCTTTCGCGCTCTTGACCAAGCAACGGTGCTGTGGTGCGCAAGGACCTCCAACAATGGAGAGCTGATTGGTTTTGTTTCACTGCGATAGGCACCAAACAACGCGTTCATGAACGTCGCGAACTCGCCAACCACAAGACACCTGTCTGTTTTCGTCCGCGTTTCAATCGGGGGTTCGCGAAACCCCCTCTAGATAGGGGCATAGTTTTCTATGCCCAAACATCAGGAGGTAAGGTGAGCCTGGTGTCCAGAAGTCCCCCTGGTTCCACGTACGAATGATCCAAAGTCGCTCTAGCCCCCACCCGTCAATCGAAAATCAAGCTCACCTTCCATGCTCGAGGGCTTCCAGAACAGCGAGGGAAATATCCCAGCTGCGAGGAAGGACCATCTGACTTCCTCGGAGACTACCGTCAGACTTGTTGACGAGCCGGGAGTTGCTTCATTGGCCTTCATGCTCTGGCGCGAGCTGCAAGAGGTAGACGCGAGTACCCAACAACGCATATTGGAGAGCATGCCGCAAAAGGGTCGTTCGGGCTGAACAAGGTTCAAGCCACACTGTTAGTTGTGGAGAATCAACGTTCGAGAGCATGCCGATGCACGGCAAGAGCAAATGGAATCTTGGTTCCATGTTGTCCCCGACAGCAGCTTGTTTCCAACGTGATGTTTAAGACCACCATTTGGGCAGAAAAAGGCGCACGAAAACCGCAATAGTGCAAGTGTTCGCACCATCTATACGCCAACATTCATATCTCGATTGCTGCATGGCCAATAGGGCACCTGTGCCGAAAAGGTTCGATTCGAAACATCGGATCGAGACCTATCCTCAGAGACGTATCGACCTATTTTCGGATTTGGAGCAACCGAGGGATCAAAGTCGGTCTAGGAGGGATTCTATCACACGCACGATCAAGGTACAAGGCAAACAAAATCAGAGCCATGTGGGAAAGCTCAAACATGAAACGGCAGGTGGCTACCACCCGCCGGGACTAAAAAAATGTTTCTCGGCAGGTGGCTACCACCCGCCGTGACTAAAAAAATGTTTCTGTTGCAAAAACACTACAAACCAAAAATGGTCGATAAAGTCGATCTAGTACCAAACTGTTAAATATCGATTGCTGAGCCCTACGATTTCGGTCAAACAGATCTAGTGCGAGTGAAGTAGTGGCCAACAGCAGGACATCACATCACTGACCTCGTTTTCCGTGCGCCTTCCTGCCTGACAAGAATAACCTTGACGCTGCGGCGCTTGATCCTGCAAGGATCAGCATAGAGGTCTTCGAAGTAGCCTCTGACACTCTTCAGGCCTTCGGCCACAACGGACTCTGGTGGCTCAGCCCACGGGTTGAAGTGTAGCTCGAGCGACGCGAGCGACCAATCCCATGTTTCTCTAAAATGAAGATCTTCTAGAACCTCAAGCAACCGGTACAGCTGGCTAGGCATCGGCCCACCTACGAGTAATGTAGAGCATGCAGATGAAGTGATGAATATCGTCGCTCGAGTCACCACGTGACTGCGATCTCGGAGAGTAGAGCCTCCAGCAAAAGCTATCGTCTGGTGATGTTCGCAGTCAACACGTATCCTACTCATCTTTCTCATGGTAGACGCGGGATCGTCGACAAATTTGAGATGTTACCGAACGAGGCAGTGCAGCTGCGGCAGGTGAACAGTGCCACGTCGACACACTACCTCCGACGAACTTCCCACGTCATCTCGGGTCGAAATAGATTCTACAGGATGGTGTGCGATGTGTCAGGCGCTTCATTCATGTATTTGCCAACAGAGAAGCACCCGCCTGTCGACCCATATCTTCCTTGCTCACAAGAAAAAATCCCCAAGACGAGCTCTGATGAGCTGAGAAATCCAATCTGGCATGCCGGCATGGAGGACAACCGGCACGACGCACACCCGTTCGTCAGCAATGTACACAAAGCCATGCCGGATACGTGTTGGCCCACTCTGACAGCGACTGCCTAGAGGAACACACCGCTTGCATGCATTGCTTGCTCAATGGAGGCATACCTGACGTGCGGTGAGTTCCCTCTTCATGGCCGATGTCGTTGGCGTTTTCCGTGTGGTCCCAGAGAGCTGTCAAGCAAACAAAGATGGCCGAAGATAGCAATAACGCAGGCAGCCAATAGAGTCGCGGAGCCAGAGCACGAATCACGGATTAACATCGAGCCTGGGGCGACCATGCTCGGGAAACACACAGCGCAGTAGGTCAATATCGTCATTTGTACCACAACAGGTGGGTTGTGGCCTGAAGGCCCACCTTGCACCTCGTGAGGACAAAGTTGGATATTCCTGGATCAACACGAAAAATAGGTACCGCACATCGACGTTGATCCTGGCTCGGCACGTGCGCAGCCGGTAAACCTGATCGTTTGAGCGCGCCTAGCTCTGCGCTGGAGCATCTCCTCGCTACTTGCAACCCGTGCTAGTCCCTCCTAAGTACGGCGAAATTACGCCACATGAAGTACGCAGCGAGGTGGTGTTTGACCTACATTCAAGTTGAAGGTAAACACATCGCGTCAAACAGAGCGCACGAGCTATGCTGAACCACGCAGTCATGGTTTGCTTGTCAGCCCTGTTGTACTTGTGGCCCACATCAGGCCTTGCCCGGCAAAATATGCCCCAACTCGTTAGGAAAAATAAATACACACACAGAAAGACTACCCATTCGAGATATGCAACTCATACACACGCACGGTGTGGTGAAATAACATGCCGAACATTACTTGAAAACCCTGCTAGTAGGCAGTATACCTGCCAATGTTCAGCCAGCGCAATATTTTCTGTTCGAAATGTAGAATAAAGCGCCAAGTGTTCAAAACGGTTGTTGGATGTGGAACCTCCAGCATAAAAGTGCTTGTGTTGAAGATGACCCGCGACCCTACAACTCCAGGCATGGGTACAATAACGGCTGGAAAGCTGACTCCGCAAGTGCAAGCAGAATACCGGTCAACTCAGCGGTCATTCGTCTACCTCAAAAACCTCCCACAGCTATACTATGTCGCGAGTTCGACTCTCAGGCGAAGTCAGTAGCTTTAGTTCGTGTCTACAGCCGTAAAGAGCTCTTCGTTGATGAGTAAACTCGACAGAAAGAGGTGCTGAATCTCTATCGGGTCATTCAACATCAACGTGTGCGCCGAGGATGAGCTCTTCTTGGGGGCCCTGGATCTGGGCTCTACCTACCGTCAGAGGCAGGGCCGTAAGGTATGTAGACTGCGGGCGAGGGTAGTGCATGGCATGACCATGACCAAAATCAATCAAGCAAAAAACACAATCGTATTGTGCAATACAGCACACCAATACCGTTCAAGAATCCCGAAACCCCAATCCCGATGGAGAGCCAAGAGAAGCGGTACAGTGCGTGGCGACATGTCGAATTCCCCCGTTTCAGTCAATAAATTGTTGTAGCAAAGATGCACGAGCAACCTTCTGGGCCGAAAACTGAATGCACGACATTCCGTTGGCGTCCAAGCCCAACACAAACACGCACGCCGGGAATCGGACCACACCGGGAGTGGACAAAGAGAGAGTGGTGTCATAAAAAAGCACGTTTCAGAATACGTGCTCCAGCGCGTTCCCCATTTGTTGCAATTCAAAAGCGAAAGTCGAGGAAACGAGCCTGAGACGTGAAGTTGAAGCTCTTGATGCCGCTCCAAACGCCATTCCAAGCGTTTACGCGATGACAACGAAATCAAATTTGATTCTCAAACTACCGACCCCAGGAATGTCTTGATCCTTGAAATCGGCCAACGGGGTATCGTATGTCATCATACCATTGTTGGCAAACTCGCATCGTTACGAGGCTGCGGCGTGCTCATCATCGGAGTAGGAGGCAAGGCAGTCAACAACACGTACACGTTTTCGCACGCTACTTAGGGATGTCGCGCGCGGAAATGAGCGTCGCGCGCCTCTGCAGCAAGCGGGGAAAAGTGAGGACGGATTGCTCAGAAAGGAAAAAAGCAAGGACAACCTGAACTAATTTCGATCCACAATACACACACTTAACACAGCGCCCGCCAAAACCATCACGATCGCTCATACTCCCCAGCGTACTCCATTCAAACACACGACGTCTACAACCGCAAACGAGGTGAGCCAACCTGTCACCCCAACCTGTCACCCATGTGAACACTGGTTTCGCTTACCGGACAGCTTGTTGCGGTCAAGATGCAGCTTCACGAGGTTACCGAGTCCACCAAGCTCCCACGGTATGGCACCTGCAAAGAGCACCAGCAAGAACAACACACACCACCATATCCGGATCACATCTTCAGCAGTAATTGACCCCGCTGCAACACTAGTGTTGTACGCGAAGGGTGCATGCGGTAGAACTCATAACAACGAAATTGGCGACCGAACATGCCCCAACTCCTCTGAACAAAAAAGAGAAAAAGAAGGGCGCACAAGCGCAATTGCCAATTATCCGTTTGCAGGAGGCTAGGCATCGTGACAACTCCACAAGGAACGCCCACAACACGATCACACCCAACGCTCCTAGTTCCTTGGGCTCTAGCAGAAAACTCCGACAAAGCTATCCCCGCCAGGTGAGTGACGGCGAAAAATATTCTGAACCATTAGACGGGGTATTATGGTTGTTGTTGTTGTTGTTGTTGTTGTCTTCACATTAAATCATCAGTTGCTAATTCCAGAATCTAGCAAAGACTCGGTCCGTGGTCACAAAAATGCTAGAGCCATCAGAAGATCTATAAAGAACACGCACACTTGGCAAGAGAGGGGACAAGCCCGAATAGGTAAATGTGACCCACAATCGCATGTAACGAAGACAGGGTTGTTCAACAATATTCAATGAACGATACCTGCCAACCAGACCCCAACCGAGTCGCTGACCGTGGTGGAGCAACTTGTAAACAGCCAAAAACATAACGGGTCAACAACGATGTCCCTATCGTTCTTTCCTCCTCTCCGTCCTACGGCCCGAGCACAACCATGACAAATTCACATTGCAGTCCGCGCGCGGAGCCTGGGTCGGGGGGGAATCGTCTGCGTTGTGGGTTCGCAAGACGCCAACCTTAAATAGGTGACTGATCAGCGTTGCAGTCATGACCATCACCATAAGGGTGAACAGGCCTTCCTCGCGAAAATGGCAGTGAGGTGGCAAGCGGCAAGCTCGTCGCAACCATGGCCACGGACACGGACGCTACGGCGGCAACCGACCATTGCAACGGCTTGAACCGGCAGTGGTAAAGGCGCTAACGGTGAGTGCGACGAGAAAGGCCGCGGAGGTGGCGGCCGACGCAAGGAGGGACGTCGCCGGTGTTGAAGGTGCGACAAAGGGGAAACCGGTCGGCCTAGGGCAAACCTCCCGAAAACGACTTCATCACCTACCGTAATTGGGCGTGTTATGGCACCGGGGTTCGATCGTTTTTTAATCATTCCTATCTTGGGTGCCACAACACCGATACCGGTGCGGAAATGCAATGAAATCAATTCGTTCTTTATTTCCAACGCACCCCGGTGCGATGACACCGATTGGTGCGATACTCAAGAAACGAACACAGGCGTTTCCGGGTACAAATACCGTAATTGTGCCTGATACGGTGCATAAAATGAAGCGGCTGATGCAAGTTTGGGGTACCGTGTACCAAAGACAACAGACACTGTGGTTCCCTGCTGGGAACGGTATACCGTGCGGTATCGCTTTTCTTCCAACCTCTTTATTGGTCGCAAGCCCCTGATTTGTTGGCTGGTGCTTCCCTCTGTCTTTGTCTGCCTCAAGGGACTTGGTACCGGTACAATTGTAGTACCGTATACGACCTCCTTCCTGTTCGGTTGGTTGGAGGCTTAGAATGTGTGTTGCGCATTTGATTGAGTGAGTGCGTGCATTCGATGTACGGAATACCGTAGGAAAAACTTGATCATTTCTATGCGCACTCCTCGACGGTACGATACACACACATGAAAGGAACGGCGCCTGAATTAGTATCTACCGACCCTCTCAGCCGTTCGTTACATACAGTTCGACACGTGGCCCGGAGGGTACCAGTACATCGCGGAAGCACGCAAATGTACGTCCTAAGCCGGTTATATATCGTTGATAGCGCACCGGGTGCGTTTACACCGATACCGGTGCGGAAAAGCAATAAAATCAGGCCGTTCTCGATACTTTTGCGCACCCGACAAAGAAAAAAACAGCTCGCACCGCAGGAAGAAGGTGGGGCACGAAAATAAAAATAAAGAAGAAAAGAGCCCTGGTGTTGTACCCCCTCCTGTGTGACCCTGGATGGTTGTAGTTGTACGAAAAAGTACACTGAAAAGTATAGTACTCCACATACACCACGAAAAATGGGGGGACTATCGTCAAAATAAATAGGATGAAAACACACACACACACACACACACAACCCCGGTGCCATAACACCCATGGGTGCGAAATCAACGATGGGTGCCATAACACGCACAATTACGGGTATAATTTGACGAGACACGGCACGGCAGCGGGGCCATCGGCAATGGTTATTGTGGGCGGACGTACGACGTCACCTAGATCACCGCACGCACTTCACTACAGGGCGGTTTGTGGAGCATTGCAGAATACCAAAAGGGTTGTCGTAACCCCGCCCCGCTTTGGTGTGGAGGGGGTAAACAGCAAGTCGAGCTGCCGCGCACATTCCATCCACTACAGTAGCATCAGCAGATGGTAGAGATGACCACCATAGAAGCAACGGGAGAGGGTGGATTCAAAGGGGATGGCGAAATGGTCGTGCACCCCTAGCCACGTCGGAAGGGGCGTGGGGGACGGCAGTGGGCGACCCCTAGCCCGTCGTAAAAAGAAAAGCAACAAGCAGCGTGGCGCTGCAGCGGGCACTCTCCTTCTTGATGTTGCTATACTCGATGGGATTTTGTAGCGCGTTTTGACCACCTCGCTGGTCGTTTTGAGCGCACGCGGGTTGCAGAAGCACGGAGGATGTCCACGCTCTGAAGTGTTCACGTGCACGTGTTCAATCTTCTTCCACTAGCTCTTCACGTAAGACCTCAAGACCTCGACGGTTGCGGGTACGTTCGTGTATTACCGCTTCCCCAGCATTCCAGGTCTGCCCGTGCACAGCGCCAAGACTTGTTGTGTTGTGCCATCAAATTCAGACATATCGCCCCGACGCCAATGTGACAAGGGGGGACCGCCCTCAAAAACGGAAGTTGAAGAAATTTGCGAAACAGCTTTTCTCGAAAACCGTTATCACCTCTTGTCAGACCGTATTTGTATCATGCTGATTCAAGGAAAGCCGCCACTATCTGTCATAAGTTCGATCGGTATGCAAGGGGCAGGTATTGGGTGTCTATGATCATGACAGTGTTGGTGAGAAAGGAAAGTGGTGCTCACACGAAACGATCGCCTGGAGTCTCCTGCATGTGCCGATCAGGACCACCCTTTAAAAAAAGGGAGCGAGCCATCCTATGATAGTGGCTTCCGACGAGCGTGAAACCGTTACAAGTTCCCCGTTCATTTAGGGGGCACTGGGGTACGCAGTGCTTCCTCTTCAAAAATCTAGGAACGCCTGCACATCCGAGTTTTCCTAATTCAAACTCCAGTACGAAACTTCCATCGCAAATTAACCGTCCGCTGACTCCCCCTCGTGACCAATGTTAGTATCTGAGATGTTAGCCCTTGTGATACACTACAGATTACCCGATCCGCGATTTGCCAAACGATCAATCTATCATCGAGATCAGTGAGATACAAGCAGGATTTTTGAAGCTGCTGTGCGGTCCGATTTTGAAACGCTTCAAGCACCTTTGTTCATGGCTAGACCTACATATACATGACCTCAGGCATTCAAATTGACTATAGCGACGAGTAGGATGTGTGAGGGAATAGTTGCGCTGACATTCGCAGCCCCACACCCTCACATAGGCTATGAATCGCGGTCAGTGTGTGCTTGAGGCGTTTCAAAATCGAACCGCAAAAAGCTCCAAACATCCTGCTTGTAGCTAGCCGCTCTCAAGAGGGATCGTATGACAATCGCGAACCGCTAAACGGACTCCTGTAGTACACGTCAACACGATGCCGGCAATACTGCTGCCGCACATACACATTGTTCCCCGACGCTCCATGAATTCCAAGGAAGCCCCGCCCTACACCTAGAGAACGCCGCGGTATAGTCGGCGGTCCCGATATCCCGTTCCAGGTCGCACAAGACACAACCTGGACTACTCTGCAGCAATAACAAGCAGTGCGTGGCGGTCCCCAAAACGGCCGCGTTAGAACACTCGTCGAGAGCTTTCCGAAAACGCGTCATTTGATGCTAGCATATTCTGTTCGTGGTATGAACACTGAACTGTTGGCATTTTGAGCACATATTCAACCTATCCTATGGAATATTCACTCGTCCATTTTTCCAATGGCAAAAAGAACCGTCAAGGTTCTCCCTGGTGCTGAAGCCAGAGAGCGGGCACCAGGTATGGTACTGCTGTGCTTCCACCTACGGAAGGCATTGGACCACGACGGGAGGGGGTGATTCTGTCGATGTGCGGGGTTCTATCAGTGGTACCTCTGTTTCTTCTCCTGGTTTGAATCGCAAGCGCGTGAAAGCTCCGCTTTGTAATCCCCCTTTTCCTCCAGAACACCCAAGGATGGGGTGAGGTGCCTCCTACGAATCTTGGGCACAAACGCCTCTTTAGCACAACCTTCTGTTGTCGGAGCAAGACCAAACCGGTGTGACGAAGAGTGCCCTATTTTTCGTCCTCCTCAGAAGCCAATAGATCGTCAATTGGTGTCCTATAGGTCTTGGTTGGGTCGAAAAGGAGGGTCATTTAGGATCCCCGGAAATTAGGCGGAAATCAAACTTGGGCCCCTACATCGCGTATGAACAGGCCGATATTTAGAGCCTTTTTCTCCCTCCTGGGATGAAGGGAAAAAAGGCCGCGCTTCGCGCTCCGCGGCTCAGGCTCGTTATCATCGAACCCAAAAACACGGGGGGGGAAACGTTTCGGGTTCTTGCGTGCAGGTATACGGAGGCAGTTTATCCATGTGGAACCGGATCGGTGAAAGGAGCAAAGGCAAAAAGAAAACCGCGTGCTCCTTTCGCCGGTCGGGATGTTTGACCTAAGACTCTGACAGGCACACCACGGGTGCTGAAACACCACTCACAACCCCAGCAAGACCTGCCAGACTCACGTCCAGGTCAATTGCAAAGATAGACCAGCGACAGAAGACGGGTTCAGCCCGTTGTTTGTCCACACCACGACATAGCGTGGTACCCTCGTCTTCAACTGCTGCTCCTTTATGCGCTGCATTTCTTTCTATCACACATATATGACAAAATCGGAAACAGTAGAATTAGCACAGCAACAGCGGCAAGGCCTCCAACGCTCTGATTCTTTGGTTTGGCCGTCTATGTCATACTCACTCCCGGCACTGTGCTGCTTCGTGGGTATTGGGGGCTCGGGTGCTGCTCAAGAAGGTGTGTGCAGACGGGTGCCATATACCCAAACAACCGTTTGAAAAAATGCGGTGAGATGACCTGCTCTTGGTCGAAACCAGGAACACAACTTGACGGCACCGTGCAGGAGTAGATCAGTAGGCCTCTGACACGCTAGTTCTTTCGGATAGGTCGGATGTGTAGCTGGTCCTCAGCGCCACTACCCCTCCGTGGCCGTTGGGCTCGTCTACATTTCGACAGAGAGTGGTGAAAAGAAGGGGGCTGCAACGGGAGAAATGAGGGGCAAGACTTGAGGAAATCGCAGGCAGCACCCAGGTTGTGACAATTCGCCCTGCTCCCGGTGCTGAAAACAGCAGGCCGGGTGGGCAAGGTCGTTGTAAGTGTGCTGTCCTTAGTGCTGGGTGCTACTCTTTGTGCTTGTACCACTGCTTTATGGTAAGCAAAGCCAAGTCGATCTGGTGTGTGTCGAGCACGGCGTGTTTCGCCGAAAGGAAACAATGACATCACGATAGCAACAAGGACCAAAATCTATAGAACCCGTTTTCTGTGTTTGATTCAACGGGCGCGTTCTCTTGCTCGGTGTTTTTGGCATCGATAACAACGGCCTCTCATTGCAAATACTCCAGTAGTAAATAGAGGCCCATGTGTCATCAGATATGGACAGCAATTCGGCGATTTTAATCCCCGGCTGGCCGAACAACAACGATGAAATACTCTTACCAGCATTCGATGTAAAATGATGACAAAAGGACACGGTGCGAGACGCGAGCGGGGTTTCTCCGCAAAAATGCCCGTGGACAAATAAAAAACACGTGAACACATGAACCCGAGTTTGTTTCCTGATTCCCTTTTCTCAGGCAAGCAAAGAAGGCCCAGCCCTCCAACTCTAGCACAATACCCTGTCAGTTCTTCCACCCGCGTCGCACCAAATCAAGGAATGCACGACAATAACTCACTGGGGCATCGCGTTGCACCCGGGCTACAGCAGTGATACTGTATGCATGCATAGTTCATAGTACGAATCGCAGCGTCCTGAAAAATCCAGGAAATGCCTGCATACCTCAGTTTTCCAAAGTCTAACTCCAGTACGAAATTACCATCGCAAACTAACCGTCCGCAGCCGTCGATTGTGTACAATGTTAAGGTGTCTGAGATTTAGCCCTTGTGGCAGAACGGGTAGGTAGACTTGTAGACTAAATAGTGGTCCGCGATTTCCAAACGATCCTTCTCTCATCATCGAGATCGGTGAGCTACAAGCAGGATTGTTGAAGCTGCTGTGCGGTCCGATTTCGAAATGCTTCAAGCACACAGCAACGGCGAATCAGCGCCTATGTGAGTGTGTGGGGCCGCGAACTTCAGCGCAGCTCTTTCCCTCACATGTCCTACTCGTCGCCATCGTCGATTTGAATGCCTGATGCATGTAAAGTAGGTCCGCATTTCTTTCGATTTCAGACCGAGAATGAAAGCCAAAAGACCAGATCGTGATGCATATGCATACGTAGGCTCTCACTCATATTGAAGACAAGTAGGGAAGAAGCAGAAAGCAAATCACTCTCTGGCGAAAGCAAACCTTGATTGTGTCAGTCGCGGCGTGCTGCACGGTCACGGTGTCTGCACTACTGGCGCTCACCACGCTGTAACCGGTGCCCCCCCCCCCCCCCCCCCCCC